TCTTTCTACAATATTTTAGGAATACCAATTTTTCGTTAAATGTTTTTTGTAATTTTTAGTTGTTTATGTAGTTCTACCACACCCTGTATTACTTATAAAAATTATCTGATATGAAATGAAACAAAAAAACAGTTAGAAGTTATATTCTAACTATAGTAAATACATGTAAAATGCACCATATTTCAGAAACTGATATTTTGAATTTTTTGAACACGCTGTATAATTTATTTTGCAAAGTGTAAGTAAGCATAAACAAACTATATACAAGTGTAGTATATGACATAAGTTTCATGGAAAAAACAAGAATTACTAGAGAGTGGTAGATATATATTTGAAAATATTAATTCTGCACTCCTTACTTTTGAATCCTTACCCAGCTTACCCTGTAGAGCTGCCTACTTGAGGTCCATAAGAAACTTGCCCCTAATGACCTGAGAAATAACATACTAAAATTTGAACAAATTCTGTCAGTACCCAAAATCAATGTAAAACGTGCGGGATCCTTTGCTTCTAAGGTTTATAAAATACTAATGCTAATCACAGCGTAAATGAAAACAAACAAGACGCATTCACACAAACACCTACCACCACAGCAATTACAAATAATTAGTGTTGTCCTCGATACGCGTCATTTCTAGACCCGTCAACTACAACATTACCAAATTATGTTTATATTGGCCATTAAAAAACACAATTTTATTGTTATGATGTCTTATTGGTCATTAAAAAATACAATTTTATTGTAATGTCTTATGCTATCACATTTATATTTTATTTTTAATGAGGTAAAACATCCTAATGTTTGTAAGTATATTTGTTTATTTTTTTTTGTTAATAAATAAAACTATTTGTAGAGCTTTCTAGTATGTACACAAATAAGCCTTTTTTTAAGAGACCATCCGTCCCGATTTAACGTGTCCTGCTTTTATCTAACGAAAAAATTTAATATTTTAATTTTTATGGTAACGTGACAACCCACTCTTTTAGATATATATTTTTTGCTATTCAATGAACCAAATCGTCACTACAGCAAATAGAATTCGTAAAAATATCTACATGTTTTCGCATTGTAACGCTTTCTACTTTTCAAAATATGGTCACTTAAAATATATAGCCAGCAATATATGTGTGGGATTTGGTAAATAATATGATCGTGTTCAGTATCATCTTGAACACTATCCTAACTTTCTGATAAGCCAAGGGCTCTATAGTCGTTGATTTGACGAACAGGTCATTTTAAAATTCGAAGCCTTTCAGAGGAATACAATTTCCACGAAAACTTTCAGGTACTTCAACATGTATTTACTAATATTTTTTGTAAGCTACGGACCTATTTTCAAACTTAAAACAACGCATTTCTTTCAAAAATTTCACTAGTAATCTCCTTAGAGCTTGAATTATTACCGGAAATTTTTTTCGTGTACACGATTTTTTGAAAATTATCCGCGAAGCGACGAGGGATAATTTTCTTAAAAAATCGTGTACGAGGAAAAGTTTCCGGTTATTAATTCAAAATCGTGGGGGATTCGGTAAGAAAATTTCACACCTAAAAAATTTAAAAGTAATTAATTTTTATTTGACATTAAGATTATTTAAGGACATGAAGAAGGGAACACTAGTTTTGGTCTAGTTAGTCATGAGTGTTTGTTGGTATGTCAAAAATTATTCCACGTCAAAATTTGCTGTAAGTTTATGAGGCCCAGTATAGTATCTATCTATAACGAGTGAGTAAAAATGTCGCGTTTTGGAAACGAAAATCAAGAGAATATTAGAAAAGAAGTCAAAAAGTTAGTTCCACAAAATACAAAGAGGAGTAAAGAAAGTGTGTGGAGACAATTTTTGCAGTTTCGTTCTGAGAAATCTTATGATATTAACAGTCCATCTGTTTCGATTGAAGCACTGAGTCAAATATTAGAAGACTATGCATTTAACATGAAGAAGAAAAGCTCATGTGATTATAAGGAGGGTGTTGTAAAAGTAATGTGGAATAGCACAGCAAAACAGTTAAAAGAGATGTTTTTTAATAATTATAATATTAAATTTGACCCATTTACCGATCCCGAATTTGCATCTGCCAGAGCAGCGCGTGATGCAATGCGAAGAAAATTGCAGAAGGATCCTGAAAAAATAAAATCAAGTTCGCTGGCATTATCTAACGACGAATTTAACAAAATTATAGAAACTTGCGATGAAGATTGTCCAGATGGTCTTCAACGAAATTTTTTTTATGTCGCATCCCTTGAGCTAGCCTGGAGGGGAGGGGAAGGGTCATCAGCTTGTATCCAGTATTTTACAGATGAAATTAATAATGAGGGTAATTTAAGTGGAAGGATAGAATATAATACAGTTTTTTCTAAAACAGCTCAAGGGGGTTCTAAAAAATTATCTGATAATAAGTGGCTAGTTACAAACAATAATAACTCAGAAATTTGCCCCGTTCGTTTATTCAAAAAGCTATTAGAAAAAAGGGGTAACAACATAAAAACTGAAAGATTATTTTTAACCCCTAATCCTACTTGGAATCAACCTGACTCTAAGGGATGGTACAAGAATTGTCCGGTAGGAAAGAATACGATATCCACTTGGTTTAAGTCGGCAGCATCTAATATTGGTATCGACATAAGAAGAAAAAAAGTGACAAATCATTCGGCCAGAGCGACAGCTGTTTCTAACTTAGCTAAAAAAGGAGTTAGTGAGCAGCAACTTATTAAAATAACTAGACATAGCAGCAGCCAATCAATTAAGCCATATCTCCAGTTAGATTCTGAACATCATCAAAATATAATTGAGTCCATGAGAAGTAACTTCCCTAATACCTCTTCGACAACCGTTTTTCACAAATCAGTTGAAATTAAAGACAATACGTTTTCTGAAGATTCAAATCACCCAACAAATAATTATAATAACTGTATTTTCAATATTACCAATAATAACAAATAGAATAAGCCAAAAATTAAAAATAGTAATATTAATTATTTTAATAATTATAATTTTGTATTGAGACTAATAAATAATACTAATGTTTGTTTAAAGTTATTATTATAAATAAAGTTTTGCATAATAGAACAGGTGGACCTTATTATTTTTATAATTCAAGTGTTATAATTGCAGGTACAAAGTATCTAACTGAAATAGTGAAAATAATAATGTTCTACCGATTTTAGTTTAATAAATTTAGTAAAAATTGTTTCAAACAAATTTATTTTACAGTTATAACCTAAGTTATGTTCACTAAAATTGGTGGAACATTGTTTTCTTCCATTATTCAAGATAATAATTGTAATTACAAAGTATCTAAATAAAATTGTGAAAATAATAATGTTCCACCGATTTTAGTTTAATAAAATTAGTAAAATTTATTAAAATAAATTTATTTTACAGTTATAACCTAAGTTATATTCACTAAAATAGGTGGAACACTGTTTTTCTTTCATTATTCAAGTGTTATAATTGGTATGAAGTATCTAAATAAAACTACGAAAATATTAATGTACCACCGATTTTAGTTTAATAAAATTTTTAAAACTTATTTAAAACAAATTTATTTTACAGTTATAACTTAAGTTATGTTCACTAAAGTAGGTGGAACGTTTTCTTTTAATTAATTTGTACCTAAAATATGCTAAGCTGTAATTGCAGTTTCCAAATATACCTGCATGAAACAAATAACAGCTTAGGTGGCTTTGGAAAAACTGTAGACAATTAGACATTCCAAACAAATTAATTGCCAGTGGGAAGGTTTGGTATATCTAACGGATGCGACATATGATGTATTCTATCTACAATACGTAAAATCATAAATAATGGTTTACATTTAAATATTTTATGAAGAGCACAAAAATATTATTTAAATAAACCACTTTGTGCATTTTTTTAAAAATTAGCAGGCTTGGCGACTGATATTTCGAATAAAAATAGCGTCCAAGTTACAAGACTATGTCGCTACACCCTTAGGTATACCAGACCTTCCCACTGCAAGTTTTGTTTGACAAGTCGTTGGAATGCCTAATTATTTTGCTGACAGTTTAACTCACTGACAGTGCAGAATAATAACCTATAACTTTTGGTAAAGTTTTTGCGTCATTATTAAAAAATCTTGGTAAATCGAATTACTATGGAAAAAGTTAAAAAATATACATTATGCAAACATTGTGAACAACTCTGTGATCTCAAAGTGTAACACAAATTTAAAATATTTGTCGTACCTCATTGATGAATGTTTGGATTGCAGTTTACAAAATCCTGAGGAAAATCTATTAGTACAATACAGAAGAATTTACTCAATGTGTCTACTAAGTTTTCTCGGATTTGTAAAGTTAAGTTTAACCGAATTGTTTCAAAATATTATATTTATTTACTTAAGCATAGACATTTAGTTAATACGAGTGTCCTTTCTTACTCACCACTGAAGAAAGAAGATTTTTTAATTGATTTTGAAAAACATTTAATAGATGTAATTAATAATAAAGAAATTAAAAAAAAAAACCAAAAGAAGTAGTAATTGTTTAATTTTGATTTGCACAAAAAGTAAACAAAAAGTCTTATATGAATCAAGCCCATTACAAGTGTCATTATTTTGACATAAAAATTTCCACTTATTAATTTCGTCCAGGGTACCCTGGAGGATGAAAATTTCCGGAAATTTTTTGGGTTACCATGGTAACCAAACAAAAAAATAGAATGATTGGCTTAAAAATGATGGTGTGAAATTTTCATATGAAATGTCATATGTCAACGTGAAAACAGAATTTTTAAAGCCAATAAGAATTCAAATTCTTGGGAGAACTTTAATTATCTCGAAATAAATCAAAAGAAACAGTCCGCGAGTTTTCACTGGCTTTAAAAATGCTACTTTAAATCCTTCCATAAAGTTCACATTTTTTTCACCAGTTGGCTTTAAAGTCATGACGCACGTTCCCTATACCTTAACTGAATTAAAACATCTGATAAGAATTGCTATTTTTTTATTTATCCGATAATGTTTCTTTTTTTTTTTTCAGAAACTAGGGCTCTACAGCTATCTTCCAACAACATCAGTTTAGCTTTAAAAATGACTATGTCAAACATATCTAATTTGCATGATTCTAAACCTGAATCAAACCATTCTAGTGATAACGAATATTATTAAGTTGTTCCTTTGAGTGTCTCTAGGAAAAGTTGTGTCTTTATAGTTCAATCGTTTTTATTATTATACAAAATTATATTCCAGTGTATATACCAATTATGTATGCGTTTGTATCAATTTCTTTACAGTTTCATTTTTTACTGTATGCTGCGCATATTACTTTATTTACTGTAACATTTGGGTGTGTTACTTGAAACTAACGCTCTTTATTGTTTTCTTTGAAAATAAATTATGAATAAAAAAATATTATTAGGTTTTAATTTGGCATTATTTTTTAACCTTTGTTATAGATGTAAGTTGTGCTCTTGGTAATAGAATGAGGGGTAACAGGTGTTGTTTTGCCAGTGATACGAGAGCTGTAAACTTTAAGGCCGGCGATCGCCCATGTTAATTTCCCGTATAAGCAGAGGTTACTTTTGACGAAGCTTTCAGGAAAAGTATACTTCGTAGCATTAATTTGAATATAGAAATCAGTTCATGAATAATGCCTACGGGTTGTAAAGAAATCTAAAGAAGCAGAGTTTTTTAAAAATACTCGCAAAATAACTTTGATCCTTGGTGTCAAAATCACATAGAAACCGTCGACTTGTCGACGTATTTACTTTAAAAAATAAACATATTTAGACGTTTTCTTTTCGTTACCACCCGTACAACTAGCATATCAAATAAATGAAACAAATCGCACTTCAAAATAATGTTTGGTTTTCCTAAAAGCTTGGTTTGAAATAAAAGCTAATTATTAATTCAACTAATCGGCTAGGGACAACGCAGATGAAAGATGATATACGCCGTATCCAAAGCTTGTAGGATTCTGTACTGTACGAACTTCAAGGTAATTTCACAGATGTCGCTTTAGAACATTACTCGTTGTTAGTCATTTGCATTACCGTTGCTCTTGAGGCAGACAGGGCCGGAACAAATACAATTTTAATACCAGCGTTTTTGTATTTAATTAATTAAATAATTCGATATATTATTAACAAATGTGGTTGTTGCCCTTAAAAAGTATTTTTATTTCCTAATGAAATTTAATCCACTGCCATTTTTTGTAATTATTGGTTTTAATTTTAAAAATAAATACATACTCTAACTTTATAATACTGTTTACCAATGTTTAATATTTTTTAGGCTAAATTTATGTAATATGTTTTTTTTTTTTTAAATTTTGATTTTGTTTTCTCTGAAAAAACAAACATCTTTATAGAGATGTCTATTTGACATTTTTAAAAATTAGATTCACGAAATTAATTTTTAACATTTATACATACCTACATATTTTTCTTGCACTCAAATTAAAAATGGCCTTGTAAGGTAATATCTTATATACAGGGTGGGCCACTGATAATGCCTTGGTCTGTAGAGCCACAACCATGTGATTTTTTAAAATTTGTTTTCACAATGAGATGTATGTCCCAAAAATCAACAATTTAAAAATAATTTCAATTATACAGGGTTCTTCAAGAATGTGATACATATCAAAGTTAGGTTTTTTAAATAGGACACTTTATTTTATATTTGAATTGCCCTCGCTTTTTCGATTATAACAATTAAATAGTATGAGATTATACAGAGTATACGCTAATACCAATTTTACATGAAAATCGTATTGATCTCAATGGCCTGTATACTGCAAAAGAAACAATTGAAAACCAATCATTTGTGGTAAAAGATTTTCGATATTAGTCAAATACCTACATACTTTTCTCATTTTGTTTAATTGAATTTTTATATAAAATCAAAACAAAAAGAAATTGGGATATATACAATTAAATGTACGCTTATTAACCCTCCAACTAGAATGAAAATATATAGTGCTGTGCGTTCTATATTATACTCTTCACAGTTTAACAAACCCCCTTAACCCTCCATTTTTATTCCATTTTTATTCCATTTTTGTTCAGAATCAATAGGTTTTATCCCCTTATAGAGTTTGATTTTTACTAAAATTTTTTAGTTGATATCGCTTTTCTGTTTTTATATCTTTAAATTTTACCCATCTAACTACTCCATTTTTACTTTCCTATCTGTATACAGATATAAGGAAAGTATAGGAATCATGATTTTTTTCGACCTCGAGTTTTCGACGGATTTTTACGTTTTGAGGTCCCCTGAATCCGTTTTGACTATTTTCGCGATGATGTCTGTGTGTGTGTCTGTATGTCGCATAACTCATGAACCGATACACAGAAAGACACCAAATTTTAAACTTAAGCTTTATTCCAGCGTCTAATGAACTTATTAGATTTTGGGCAGAGTCAGAACATCTGGGGGGGTACTTTATGGTTGGTCATTTTTATATTTTATGGAATATATCTGTTATTTACATTTGGAGAAGAATATTCTTCAAATAAAAGTTACTTCTAATGTAATTATCTATAATTTTTGTTTTATGTCAAAATTTCCTGAAATGGTCCATATTCGAGAAATTTGACAAAATGTGCAAAATTCTGATTTTTATGAAAATTGTTGAACTAAAAGTTGTTTGCGATATCGATCTCTATAATTTTTGTTTATACATGATTTTTCTAAAATGGACCGTAATGGAAAAGTGCTAAATTTAAATTTTTCAGTATTTTCGTTTTCAATGAATATCTATAGAAAATTGTTTCGAGGCAGACGTATGTGGACAATGTATATATTTATTTTATCCCCTTATAGAGTTTGATTTTTACTAAAAATTTTTAGTTGATATCGCTTTTCTGTTTTTATATCTGGCTTTATTTAAATTTTACCCATCTAACTACTCCATTTTTACTTTCCTATCTGTATACAGATATAAGGAAAGTATAGGAATCATGATTTTTTTCGACCTCGAACATTTATAGAGATGCTTCAATAGGTTGTACAAAGTAACCGGAAAAAGCCTATAATAACTAGATAGAAAAGTCATGTGTTGGACACATCAGATTTTTATTTATAGGCTTCGTCTTCATATATAGCTTGATTTGTCCTGAAAATTTCAAGTTATCATTTTTCGTTTTTGCTTCATAATTTTTTTTATTTCAACCCCGTTAAGCGCCCTATTTTTAATCAGATTTTTTAAAGAATCAATAGGCTTTATTCCCTTATAGAGCTTGTTTTTAAGTTTCAACCCCCCCTCAAACAACCATTTTTAAATAGACTTTTTTCAAAATTAATAGGCTTTGTCTCCTTATAGTGCTTGATTTTGCCTGAAAATTTCAGGTTGATATCATTTTTCATTTTTAACTTATCTTGCAGACAAACAATGTGACATCAGATGGACGGACGGACAATTTTAAAAGTGGTTTCAAACTACCAAATAGTATGAGATCATACAGAGTATACGCTAATACCAATTTTATATGAAAATCGTATTAATCTTAATATACTGCAAAATAAACAATTGAAAACCAATCTTTTGTAGTAAAATAGTTTCGATATTAGTCTACATTTTATGCGGATACGCTATATTTTATTTCGAAACAAATCTGTACAGGGTAGGTCAAAATTCAAATAACTACATACTTTTCTCATTTATTTTTTAATTGAATTTTATATCACTAGCAACTTTTATTTGCGAATTTTTTTCTGCAAGCGTTAATAACAGACATATTGCTTAAAGTAGAGAAACGACTCTGTATATGCCCGAAATCTAATCAACTCATTAGAGGATGGATTAAATTTTAAATTTATTGTTTTTCTCTGCATACATTTTTGAGGTATCGTGGATACAGACACACAGATATCATCAGACACCTACATACACGTATAGCGATATTATGACATTCATGCGTGAAATATATTTTTGGCATCAAGGTAATTTTTATATAAAATCAAAAGAGAAAGAAATTGGGATATATACAATTCAATGTACGCTCATTAACCCTCCAACTAGAATGAAGATATATAATGCTTGGCATTCTATATTATACTCTTCACAGTTTAACAGACCCTCCTTAACCTCCCATTTTTATTCAATTTTTGTTCAGAATCAATAGGCTTTATCCCCTTATAGAGCTTAATTTTTACCAAACATTTTAAATTAATATCGCTAGTAGTATAACTAGTAGTCTAATACTCCATATTGCAGGAGTGCTAGTACTTTAATACACGCCTACAGACAGGCCTTGTCACGGTTTCCCATTTTAGGATCAGAACTGGCAATTAGAACCCAACAGTGAATGGTTAGAGTGGAGAATCCTACATACGGATCAGAATTATTTTTAAAAAAATAAATTAAAAAAAAATGCCTGCTCACGGTGGGGTTCGAATCGCAGACCCTTGGACTAAGAAGACTTAAGGTACCATTTGAGAACGAGCGACAAACGACAAGAGACCGAGACAGCAGTAAGGCGGCATATATTGTCATACTAAATCTGCTGTAGTCGGTCTCGTCTACCGAAATGTGTTTCAATATAATTACGTGTTCAGACGTGAAGAGACCGCTTTTGGTCTCTCGCTGTCGCGTCGCGTTTTGAAGTCGGTCTCGTCTTGAGAAATAGTACCTTGAAAATATTTAATGACATGCTGGGATAGAAAATGGATAACTTAAAAATTTTTGAAATATTTATAATGTCCGACAAAATTGGAATCTTACCTTTATTTTTTTATTGTTGCTTAGAGTTATTAGGGTACTCTGTCACGCAACTAAACAAACTGTTTGGGTTTTGTATTTAATGCAAAAACAACAATACATTATACATTTAATATTGTTATAAAAAATCAGTATTTACTTTAATCGTAGCTACGTGTTTTATTTAAAAAAATATTTTTTTTGATCTCTAAAGCAGCTGGATTTTAAATTCTTTCTTTAAAAAAAACAATCCTTTTTTCTTCCTGTGTTTTTAATCTCAAACACCACCTCATACAACATTTAAAATAGTTATTTCTATGAACATTACTAGGTTCCGATTACAATAATTAGAAGGAACAGCTACGTCATCATTTGGCAAAGTATGTAGTTAATTAATTATCGCCGCCTACTGGGGTTAATATTATAGGAATCTAGGAAATATAGTATTATAACTAACAACTTACATATTTTTTATTTATATATAGTTATAGATAATATGTATTCTAATTTCGAATGCATATTATCTATAACTTTCAATAAACAATATTACTTAATGTAAGTTGTTAATATTTCCTATATTTATATAATATTAATACTCCACTAAACCCCCAATAGGCGGCGATCACCAATTAATTACGTTGCCAAATGATAATGTAGCTCTGTTCTTCTAATCGTGTAATGAGACCCTACAATAATATCAAGTTCAACAATTCTTTCAAATATCCTGAGTCCGGCCAAAACAATTTTGTCGAATGCAATGGTTTGAAGTGGGGACATTAGAGGATATAACGATTGTACATTTCCGTGAAACTTAACTCGAGAGCTGAGAGGCCATAATATTTACTAATTTCTACCTGCAGTAGCTTTTAAAACAGTCCGTAAATATTTAAATAACTTTCGCTATTGCACCACTAAAATGTGAATACGCCAGGCCAATGTAAACGGACCATATACATTCCTATGTCGCATTTAAATTAAATAGCCACACCATGCAACTTTTAATATCCTGAATCTATATTTAAAATAATGGCTTTACCTTTAATTTATTTGCACAATTGGGATGCAAATCCAAAAAAGTATCCGCTATTACGTTATCAATATTAATTATTTCTACACCCACATGGATATTACCCAGACAACACACCAAATCACAGAGATATCCACAGAATATCTTTTGTGGATATCCAATATATCCACAGGATATCAGAAATATCCCGTGGATCTAATATGGATATCCAAATGTCCGTTTATATCCAGAATATAGAAGATATCCTATGGATATCCAGCAAAATATCTAATGGGTATCTTCCAGACAATACAAGAAATCCCAGAGATATCCACAGAATATATGTTGTGGATATCCAATATATTCAGTGGATCTAATATGGATATCCAAATGTCCGTCTATATCCCAGGATATCGAAGATATTCAGCAAAATATTTTATGGGCATCTTTAGTAGAAGTTCATAAGTAACCAATGATTATTGAATAACGTCGAAAGAAAATATCAGAGATAAAAAATATTTTCAACACTCAAAATATTTTCAACACTCTGCCTTTGATTTTGCCTACCAAGTAGAAAGTCATCCTTATTAGGAGTTTTCAGCGATAAATGGAAATTCTCGACTCCAGTCTCTAATGGAGTCTGATTGAGTTACCAATTTCGATCAAAATCAATTACGGCGGGTTGAGCATGAGTAGATATTCAACGAGTGAAAGTAGTGTCGCCATATATAATTAGTAAGCAAAATCAAAAATTACATCTAGTGGATATCCACCATGGTTTGCGTTCGCGCCTAGACTTTGATATATTTTGTGGATGTCCATAGGATATTGAATACACCTTAAAAAAATTAATTTTAAATATCTGAACGGTACTATTAGCCACAATGGCGAGCACAATGGCGTAATTTTTTCATAATTTGCTATATAATTACTATTATTTATGGACATTTGAATGTCTATAAATTACATCTCATGGATATAAAATAAATATCCACCATGGACTGGACATTCAGTGGATAAAATAAATAAATAAATAAATAAATAATTTACCAAAATCGTAAAAGTGGACGTGGACGCGTGGCAGTGTGTTTGACTTTCACGCGAAAAGCCGGGAACGATTCTAGGCTGGCGATTTTTTTTTTTTTTCATATTTAAATGATTTTAAAAATCTGTAAAATTTATAAATTATTTTAAAATTAGTTATTTTGTCTTAATAACCTAAAATATTTTTTTTATTTGTAACATATGTACAACTCGAGTGGATTGTCCACTACGGCGTCGTGCTCAAATTTCGTCTTCGTGTGATATAGCCATCATATCCACTCTTGTTACACAAACTACTATATAGTGTAAGCTGATAATATAAGAAAGTTAGTATAATAGTGAATGAAAACATGAAATTGCAAAACATCTAGGAAACGAAAATAATTTTTTTCTCTATACTCACAAGGATATTAGATTATCTACACATAGAGTACAAAACGAAAAAGAATGGTATTGCGTTTAGTTAAACAAATATATTTCATATCTACTATAGGTAGTAAGAACACTACAAAAAATAAAATCCACCAATCACAGTTCCTATTTTGATCAACCAACTACTATTATTTATAAAATTTTAAATAAGTAACATTTCTGTCAAACTAATTGTCAGTAAAAAAATGTTTAGTTATTGAAATTAAATATACATTAAAATGAGTTATTCTTGTGTAGACTCGATAAATAATAATAGCATTTCTATTTTTGTTTAGTCTATAATTTTATAAATATTTCGTTAATTTTAATAAAACTATATAAAGTCAATTTAATTACGAGTATTAATGCAAAAAATTTTAAGCACCTCGATGGTAGTGAGTTCAGAGCATTTGCCTTTTTTCTTGTTTATTATATTTTATAAACTAGTGAAAGTTTAAATTAGTTATTTTATCTTAATAACCTAACATAATTTTTAATACTATTTGCAGATTTTTATTAGTAGGTCGTAGAAAAAATATGCTGTACAACTCGAGTAGATTGTCCATATCACACTCAGACGATTTAGGAGCACTCCACTAACGGCGCCGTGCTCAAATTTTGTCTGCGTGCGATATGGCCATGAACAAACTACTATTGTACCTATATAAGAATAAATTAAATAAACCTAAATCATTACAATACTTGTTAAATTCAGAACATACGAATATAATAGTTTTATTGGTTGAATTGAAAAATAAACTATGCCAATTAAAAAATAGTTATTTAATAACGAACAATAAAATATTTAATTCCCGGAATTAAATCTTATTAGGAATTTCCAGTATCATCTATTGTCCTCTAATATTTTAATAACAGGTAAACATGAATCAGACGACAGCTCAAATAAGGGATTAAAAAGAGATAGACACGAATTTGTTGAAGCCGACTAAAATAGTTTATGCGTTTTAATTTAACACAAATTCAATGTTTTATTATTATTACAAAGACAACCCTGTTTTTTCATAGCCTTTTTCAGGGAAAAATTACAAAACTAACGACAGACAAAATTACATTGAGGAAAGTTCCATTACCGACGCAAACAAACCAATCACAACTGCCATATAATATCTATCGCGATAAGGAGATGGCACCTTACTTCTCACACACTTAAGCATCTTGCATTAGTGATTGCGGTACGAGACGTCGCCCATACTTCACCAGTCTAGGCTGGAGAACAGAGGCGTAGTCATCGATGACGTACATTTATGTAGATGTAAACTAATTATGTAAATATTGTAAATAAAATTATTCTCTCTCTCAATGTTTTATATGACAAATCGTATACCCCTATAAGGTAAACAGAGATATCAATCAAGTAAGAAAGGGGTATGGGAGGTATATTTTATGGTATTTGTTGTGGCACTGCTTATAGTTTTTGAATTTTATGTATGTATGTAGGTATATTATGTAAAACTATTCGAGTCCATTGACTGTTTTTTGCATGGAATTCCAATAGTTTTTTCTACCTGGTATCATTGATTCCAAAATAGTTAGCTTTTATATCTTACAAAACATAAACTTAGTAAAATTATCTAAATAAAAATTGACCTCTTATTTTCATATGTAATATGCATATACATACACAATTTGATTTATATAAGTTGGTGCATTCCAAAGTTTCTCTTCTTTACGCGCTTGTTCAGATTTTTTGATTTTTGCTAAGAAAGTTAAAATGATTTATTTGTATTTTAGCATACTATAATTTAAACTTTTTATGACCAGAAAGGTAATTTATAAACTAGAAATAAACTTTTCAAATTTCTTCCTAAAACGATACTAATTCCGGGTCTGCTTATGTAAATTTCTCAACGGTTGAAGGCTTGAAAGCAGAAGTAGAAAACTATTCTTCGATGGTTAGATATTTTTAAGTTCCTTTACTCACTGCCGGGGACCGCCACGTCCCGGGACACCTTTATTGCGGAAAGTTATACCCATCTTTTTCTTGCACGAAATGCGATTCCTTGTGTGTCAGACGCAAGCCTTAAGGCAAAGGGTTTTTGGTTTGGTGGTTTTAATTTTAAATTGGTAAAATGTAAGTGCTTCTCAGATAAAACAAATGAATGGTAGAAATAAGGTTGTACAACATTCTATATACACCACCCTATGACGACTGATATTTTTTTTTTTAATTAATTTATTGATTGTCACGATTTTTCTGACTCTGTAAATAAAAAGTTACAAAAGAGACCCTTGCATTATTATCCATCGATAACAATTCAGAAGTGATAACGAATGCAATTTCTATAATATGAATAACGATAAAACTGAGGCCAGTAGCCAAAATGAAATTAGCAGACAAATCGTAATGGTGGAAAGCAGAAAGGCCAATGAAGAGAAATTCCTTAAATTGTTGGAACAAAAAAACCCCAGTCGATCACCAAGTACCATATAACGCCCGATTTAAGTAAGACCATTGAGGATTTTAATGTGGAAGAGGTGGGAAAATCGGCATTGGAATGATTCGAAAAGTTAGACAGTTGCACAATTGGCCCGAGTCTTTCAAACTGGAAACCGCCAAAGTCCAATTAGTTGGTACAGCCAAATTGTGGTACAAGAGTAACGCTGAGTTCATTGAAAACTACGAACAGTTCAAATGACGATTCAGCCGGAGACAGAGTAGAACAGAAATTTGGAGGGAAATGGAAAAGACCACTCAAGGTGAAAATTGCCTATTTTCTTACTTTCACCATAAAGTTAAACTAAGCAGAGAATTAAACTTGGAATTTTCTGAAATTAAAGAACAGGTGGTAACTGGTCTGAATAATAAGCAGATAGGATAGAGTGGGGGAATATCGGCCCCTTAAGAGATAAAGCTTATCATGATTGGATTACAAGGTTTACAAAGTTGGGAATTAAAAGATAGATAAAACAAGCATTTGCGAAGAATATTATTTATATAAAATTAAAATAAATTTTAAAATAAAAAAAATTATAATAAAAACTAAAATGGGGGTGGGTTGGCTCAGTGGTTAGAGTCATGACTTTGAGATCGGAAGGTCTCAGGTTCGAATCCCACCGTTGGCCGGGATTTTTTCATTTAATTTAATTATTTAAAATTAATTCTGATGCCTTGGTAGAATTCCCCACTCGACCATTCACTGTTGGGTTCTAATTAACAGTGCTTTTCCTAAAGTGGCGCTGGGAAACAGTAACAAAGCCTACACAGAACACGAGGCTAATGGCCGTAGTAGTCGACGCCGATGACATCAAATAAAAAAAAAAAAAAAAAAAAAAAAACTAAAACATAGAAGTGGCCGGTATTATCCTCTCAGTTGGGGAATTATCGACCGGGTGGCCGGTTTTACACCGATGGTCAGTTTTACTGGCAAAAGTCACAAATCCATTCGAGCTTTTCGCTGTCAGTACATGCTTGATGTGCCCACCCTGCACACATTATACACCTTACCCACAATTCACGATTTTTCCCAAGTTCTCCACATATAACACAAATATCTTCTGTAACCATTGGCTACTGAGGATTCTGATTCTTTAGCTGTGTTGTCTTCCACGTATGAAGATATTTTTATTTTTCGGGCATATTTTTTACGTGGTTCCAACTGTGAGCTACTAGAAGTTGTATTATTTTTTGTTTTTACCATTCCATCACGTTCTAAAACATTTCTCTTAACTTTTTCTTGTTTAACTTTACTTGCTGCTATTCTTCGTTGTTTTCTTTCTTTTTTTTTTCCTCCAATAAACTCTTCATAGGGGTTGCAGTAAATATTTCTGAATGCTGTTTTGTTCTACCTTTCTTTTGTTTTTCTACAGATAATACAGCTTTATATGTTGAAGGATAGTTCAGAATGTCTCCGAAAGAAGTTTTTTTCTCTGGTGTAGTATCTTGGATATTCTGAGATATCACAGTTAATGGACTTCTTGGTGTAAGGACGATGATAGTATTTTCTCCAAGTGCATTTTGATTTTCTATTACGTTCGTACTCTCCTTGGAAGTTTTAATAAAATTCGCGGGCAGAAAGTCATCTTCTGTGAAAATATCCCCATTGATTGGACAAATTCCAGAGGCCTCGAAACCTTTTGTGGCCTTTTCAGGAGTTGCCACTCTTCCAAAAACTATTGAAAAGTTCTGCAATTTCAGAAGTCGATATTCTCTCTCCAACATGGGTTCTCAAAAATTTGTCGCACTCGTTATTGTATGCCTTCTTTAAAGGACCGTAGAAGGAAACATCGAGGGGTTGGATCCGATGAGATGTATGGGGTGGGATTGTTAAAATTAAAATTCCATTTTCTTTGCAGTAGTTGTATGTTTCTAACGTGCAATGTGTGGAGTGATTATCAATTGCTAGCAATACTGGATCGTCTAGTGTTGCTTTAACAAAATTTTGAAAGTGTTTGAGCCATTTTACAAAAATCTCTTCCGTTATCCATCCATTGTCAGAGCACATGTAAACGGCTCCAGGTGGACCATTTTTTGTTAAGTGTGGTGCCATTCTTTTGCGTGCAAAAATAAATAATGGAGGAACATATGCTCCAGCTGCACTAAATGCACACAATACAGTGGTCGTTTTACCTCTTTCGGCACTGGTAACAAATCCCACTCTTTTTTGACCTTTTTCTGCATAAATTTTATTAGGACGCTGCACCATTAATATTCCTGTCTCGTCTGCATTGAATATTCTAGACGGTAAGAACTTGTATTTATCGTTTAGTTTATTCAAGTTGTCATAAAACAAAGTAACCTCTTCTTTATTAAATGCTTCAATTCTATTTGCACTGGTAGATTCGGGTTTTCGTAAAGAAATTGTGGAATTTCTTCTAAGAAAACCTAACCAATCCCGGCCAGCTTTTTCATGTGTAGGAGAAAACGGATGTTTCAACTTATTTTTTACAGCGTAGGTATATGCGCATCTCTGAATCTCCAATGGTGTTATACCATAAAACAATTTGTCTAGTTTGATTACTTGGTCAGTAAGTTCCTTTTCTTCCGCTGTTGTAAAGATTGGTTTTCGTCCCAAAGGTATTTTTGAAGGACTACCACATTTTATATGATCTTGCAATGTAGCTCTCGGTATGTTAAAAGCTTTTGCAACTTCCCGTTGACTTCTACCATTTTCTATTGCTTTCAAAGCAGCCTTTAAATTTTCGGCTGACCAGGTCCCTCTGTTTGTCTTCCGGATATATTTTCTTGGCATCTGAAAAAAGAAAGGAGTGTCTTAATATTGCTGAATTTCAAATTGGGGTAATATCGGCCAGGCCGAAATTCCCCGCATATGCAAGGCCGATATTGCCCCATATGTATAGAAATTTACAAACTTTTTTTTGCTAAAATCTGTTAAATTTATTATAAAATTTTACCGAAACATCACGAACGTAATTAAAAGACGAATTCAGTAACACAAAAAATATATTTTTCCTATGCTTAATAACATCGAAACTTACCTTTAAAATAGTACATTCACTATAAGAATCGACGAAATTTTCTTTATAACCGTATACAAAATTAACGCGTGCTGATGCGACGATAGCTAGGCGACTACTGACTGATTTCATTCAATGGCGATGGCTTACAACGTCACGGCCTTCATAGCCCGATTTACACCTGAAAAAACCGGTGGCCGATTTTACCTCCATGGCCGGTATTCCCCCACTCTACTAATCCCAGGTTTACTAGCGTCGTATCATAATTTTGATGATTTGCTTCATAGTATCCATGAGTTTGACATAATTCATCGTCAGGCTAAGCAGTATTCGACACCTTTTCGAAGCGGATCTACAGATAATAGCAGAAGTACAATATCGACAGATTCTGGTTTACAAGTTCGTGGTAGTGAGAATGCTGTCTCTATAGCGACTTCTTCCATTAACAAAGCGCCAGCATCCGGGAAGTTCTTTCACTGTTACTTCTGCAAGGAGGCCGAGCATGTTAGAAGACATTGTTCAAAAAGAATGCGAAACTCTTTAGAAACTTCCAATCCTACTATAGGAATTGCAGTTCCTTAGTTTGTGCAGACTGTTGTGGACTCTGACCCAGATAGCAGATCCGATGCCATTAAAAAAGTTTTAAAACTTAATTAATGATTCCTTTGAACTTTCAGCTTTGATAGACACAGGAAGAGCTGTATGTACCATTAAATAATCATTTGTCGATAAGTTCGATTTAGTTTGTTTGGACACAAAATGTAATTTCTTTGGTTTTGGACAGGGGAATGCCGGAATTGCTTGTACACAGAAGGTAACGCTTAAAATGGCTCTTGACGAATTGTCTGTATATGACGCAGAGTTATTTGTGGTACCCCCAACCATCGATGTTCTTTTACATTTTACATTATATTTACTGAACGGGATAATATCACATATTACAGACTAGGAAATCAATTAATTTTCGGATACGCGAGTGAAATTCGTTTTGCAGTTTGAACATTTTTGAAAATTTTAAAAGACTGTCGATTTTATTAATAGTTTCTTTAACGGTGATAATTACCATATTTGTCTAGTAAATGGTACAGATAAAACAGTTTCATTTGAACAAGGACAATTAATAGTGGAAATAGATAACGAAGAAAAAGTAAATTTTAATCAACTAGTAAAAAATAATATAATTACACAAGATTGATGAATGTGAGGGCCGAAACTTCCAACGAAAACGCGAAAATATTGCTAGACTTAGTGAATAAATTTAGAGACATTTTTGCTCGTGAACTTGATTGTACGGACGTTATCAAGATGAACATTCTTGATAATAATGTTCCGGTTAGGACCAAACCTTATAAGTGTACTCCCACAAAATCGTGAATAAATTGTTAAAGAAACTAATTCCAGTTATGCTGCTCAGGTATTTTTGGCTGCAAAGAATGGATGACAAACGCTTGGTTGTAGATTTTAGAAAACAACGATCAAACTATTAAAATGAATTTTCCTCTTCCTCAGATAGATGAGCAGTTTGATGGTTTAGCTGGCTGTTGCTTGTTTACTATAGATCTAGCCAGTGGATATCTTCAAGTTACTCTCACGGAAGAAGCTCAAGAAGAAACAGCTTTCATAACTCCAGACGAATTGGGACAATTCACCAGGATGATATTTGGTCTGACTAACGCACCCTATAAATTTGTAAGAATGATGAATTTAGTCTTAGGAGAGTTGAGAGGTAAAATT